TTCTTTGATGAGAATGATGAGGAAGATCTAAATTATGCACCAAACAAGAATGATTCAGAATCAGAAAATCAGAGATTGTGCAGCACATAGCAGAACAGGCAGAGGAGGGTTTTTCCTCTAGGGATGCAGGCCAACGAAGAGAAAACACAGAGCCACCTGGAGGAAAATAGCTCTTCCCTGCCAAAAGGGTGGTGCAGTCCTTGAACACAATGAGCTCCCTTCATTTCAACCCGGCATTCTTTGGCTCAATATTGGAGGAACATTGAAGCCGAGGCAGCCAACGAGTCTTCCAGTCGTGGTCGGGGTTCACCTTGCGCGCTATGGCTAGCAGTTGAAATGCGGCTTGATTTTGTGAGTTGTGTACAATGAAGGGGTGTGAGGTGAAGTCGAAGTCTTGCAGAGGGTTTGTGCTGGAATGGGACCGGTTGGTCATAGACGTTATCGCGTGTACAATGCGTAGCACACGGAGAAAGAGCAACGTCGTTTATCTTGTCGTGGTATGTTACAGAGAAGCGTGAAGGCCCCTTGGAGTAGCCGGCGCTGAGCTTGGAGAGGCTGAGATTCCGAGCACTGTTCGATCGCCCCCGTGTGCCCCAGACGCTCACAGAGCTCGCTGTGCCCCCTTTTAAAGATATGAAAACGTGGCACGGCCTTGACTCTGCATGCGTCTGGGAACGAGACTAAGTCTAAGCCAGGCTTTTGTGGGGGCGAGAGCTCGAGAACAGACCGCATCACATGTGGGTTGTTTGTTTCTTTGTTTGTTCTGGGATTCGCCCGGTTCGCCCCGGCAACACCTTGACTCTTTCTGCCTCGCCTCGCCTTCCCCATTTTTGCTCGCCGCCGCCTTCGCCGTCATTGCAAGGATGGCAGATTCCTCTGAGCCGGGGGCAGCCCAACGGCAACAAGCAGAAGCACAACCTCCTCCTTCTAATCCTAATCCTAATCCTAATCCTAATCCCAATCCCAATCCTCCTCCTCAGCCGTATCATCCTCATGCACCACCGACATTACCCCCACCTCCTCATCATCACCACGACCCACAACATCAACATTTAGGTCCTCACCCGGGTCTTCCTGGCCATGGGCAACCACCTCCAGGACATAATATGCCCCCGATGACGGGTACTCCATCTGGAATGGGTGGTGTGTACCCCCATTCACCATCGACGCTCTCCAGGCCTTTTAGGAGCAGGAAGAATCGACCTTGTGATGCCTGTGTTCGTCCATCATCATTCCAAGACAACGTCTTCCTTATCTAATGTTTATGAACAGAGGAAAGCCAAAACGCGCTGTGCGATACCTAACATCGGACCACCCTGCGTTGAATGTCAACAAACAGGGAAAGCATGTACATTCGACGAACAACCGCCAGCGAGGAAACGACCTCCCAAGCGACCTGTCTCTCCTTCGTCCCTCGCCAACCCTGCTTCCGTTCCAGCAGGCACTAGTACTGCGAAACGTGCGAGACAACAGGGATACGGACAGGAGGCTCCCTCTTCCGAGCAGGTGCAGGGATTGGAGGCGTTGATGCAAGCTGCGACGCATGCGAGGGAGAGTCAGCAGTCTGTGATGGGTGCGGCGAGGAGAGGACCGCAGGATACGCCGTCGGGACCTCTTCAGGTCGCATTGGCCAGTTTCATGCAACACGGCCAAGGGGGTGTTCCTTCATCGAAGCAGGGCCAACCTTCGCCCCATCCTTTCGCACAGAGGCCAGATCCACAGAGTCTGGATATGAATTTAACCCCGGATGTCGAGCCGTATGCGATTACGGCGCTTCTGACGGATGATTTGTTGCCGATTGGGTTTCGAAGGGAGGGGAGGGAGGGAGGGTATGAGGAGGGCGGGATTAGGCAAGTTTCGAGGGATGCGGAGAAGCCGCAGGTATTGTCTTCTTTTTTACCTGCATATATGCGCTTGATGCTGATGAGAATATCGTAGTTCTTTATTATGGCGCAACGTCCTACTCGTAAGCACCCTACCTATTCTTCCCTCTTCACACTATCCTAACTGGTTTTTATTACTAGCCGCGCCAACAGCCCCCCAACCAACCCTCAACCCCACTCTCCTCACCTCCCTCCTCACCCTCATCCAACCACCCCCCACCATCCCCGCTCTCCTCACCCTCTTCTTCACACACGCCAACCCCGCCTTTCCCCTCTTTATCTACCCCGTCTCCAACACCTCCTCCGGGTCCAGTCCCACCACTTCCACCACTTCCCCAGCAGGAGAAGAATCCCCCCCGCCATGCGTGTTACTCGGGGACGAAGCCGCCCAAGCCAGCGTCAGCATCTACGCCCTCTCGCACAGCGCCAACGCTCGTCCCCTCATCAAGACTTTACGAGAGGCTCTATCACCCGTCGCACCTTCCCTTCCCCACTCCCACTCCCACTCCCTCTCATCCTCACCCTCATCCCTCTCTTCCCTTTCCCAATCTCTCTTGGAACTAAACACCAGAGAAGATGCGAGAGCACACGCGCAGAGGAATTACGTGGCGATAGCTGGGATGATTGCGCGGATGCAGCTGATGGGGTTGCATATTGATTGTGGGGAGTGGGTTGTGCCGGGGTGGGAGGGATGTTGGAGGGGGGTGGGGTGGTGGGGGGGTGTGGTTCATGATGCTTGGTGGGTTGGTTTCTCTCTTTGCTCTATTTGCTTTATGACATGCGTCTGATGGAAGTTCCGTTCTTTCTCCCTCTAGGAACTCATTCTTGAACTCCAGACCCTCGCACGTTCAGAGTAGTAACACCAGCGTCCCCATTCCCACTCTTTCCGCGATCTTGCACATCACGACGGGAGTGAATATCCCGCCGTCATCCCTCCCCACGTTCAGCGCGGCGGGGATGACTCCGTCGTCCTCACCTAATTCACCCACCATGATTGATCCTGCGCTCCGTGGCCCAGATCCCCTCCCTCACTCCAACTCTAACCCTATCTCACCTACCTCCGCTCCAATACCGAGCACTCCCTTCCCACCCACGATCGACCCATCCCTCGTCATCTCCGCACAATCATTCATCTACCTCTGTCGTTTGTCCCTCCTCGTTGCGAAGCTGCAGGGACAGGTGTGTACGATCCATCCCGGGTCGGGCGTCGAGGTGGTGTACGATGGTATCGGGACGGGATTTCCTCCGCCTGCAGAGCACGTCGCTAGTCCCGCCCAAGGGCCAACGAGGGCAGGGTCTCCACCCAGCTCCGTCGGACCCGGCGCAAGCGCAGGATCTGCGTCCAGCGACGGAGGTGTGACACGGGAAGAGAGATGGAGACGCGTACGGTGCATAGAAGGTGAAGTCGAGGCCTTGCTCAAAGAAGTCCGCGCGGCGTTTTTCGGTGAGGGGGGGAGAGAGATGGGCGGGAAGAGGAGGGCGACGGGTGTGGCGAGTCTGGTTACGTGTATTTTGGGCTTTAGGTGTATGTTGAGGAGGATCAGTATTGAGCTGTGGATGGGACTGGGGAGTCCGTGAGTATCTTGTTTCTGTTTGCTTTTGGGATTTTCGAGAGGGGATGCTGATTTTTTAATGTAGGTTTATACCGGATGGCGAGACGCTAGAAGTGTTCGCGGACGCGGTGGACTTTGTGTGTTCGCTCACTGCCTGTTCATCGCCCAAGGGCAAATCCACCACCACCACCACCACCTCCACCACGCAACAACCGACGACGCTGAGCAGTCTGACAGAATCGGACTTTGACTCGTTCTGGTTCCCTTATGTGTCGCATATTCTGTGCTCGCTTACGTCGTCACTTATCCGGCTGTCGTTGGCTACGATAGCCGTGACGAGACAGGAACAAGAGAGTGGAGGGCAGACGCCATCTCAACCTCCTCAGACCCCCACCCAACAGCAGCAACAAACCCAGACGCAAACACTGCCGACCTCCCCACGCACGAACCCGCTCGTCATGCTCAGTCGCCTCACCACCGCCCTGCGTATGGCGAAGGACGAGGCGAAGTGGGATATGGCTGGGCCTGCGCTTGAGAGGGCGGAGGGTGTTGCGGCGCAGCTGAAAGCTCCGAGAGAGACGACGGGGGAGGTTAAGAGGGAGGAGAGGGAGATGACGAATGTGAATGTGGTGGCGGCGTTGGAGGGGAGATTTCCGGGGTATGCTGCTGCGGCGGGGGCGTATCATGGTGGGCAAGGGCACGGGCAGGCACAGGGAGAGCAGCAGGTGTATCAGCCTGCGATGGGGCAGTATGGGCATGATGCGGGGAGGAATGGGTATGGGCACCCGGTGACGAGGGATGAGCAGGCGGGGGAGCATGTGCAAGCTCAGGCTCAAGGTCAAATCCAGTTTCAGTCGCAGGCCCAGTCGCCAAGTTCGTACCCGCCGCGCGATCAGGGCGAGTATCCACCTGCTCCTGGACCGGCGACGGGACACTGGCAAGGGCATTACGCTGCTCCGTATGCAGGACATGCGTACCATCACCAGGCGGGTGGAGGGCATCAGTATCGCGGAGACGAAGGACAGCATCATGGGCATGGACATAGTGGGTACCCTGCTAGTCATGCGCGGATGATGTCGCCTCAGGGCTTTGCGGAGAACGCGGCGTGGGGGGTGAACATGGCGGCGTTTAGCCAGTATGGGGATCAGTGGGCGCCGGGGAGGAGGGGGTGAGGCTGATTGATTACTGATGGACGATATTCTGTTTTATACGATGTATGCCCTTATTTTCCTCGCCCTTGTGCTGCCAGCGTTTGTGTTGTCACTTGTGTCGGCCCTTTGTCTCACTGAGCTTCCTGAGTCTTCATTTCGTTGTGCTGCGATGGACTGTTACACTGGTACTCGTTGATCTGTCGTCTGGGGCTCTCGGATGTAGGTGCTGTGATTTAGTGTCGTCTGTATCTACCAGTAAGGTTAGTTTATGGACCGCTCTCTGTGTGCGCTGAGTGTGCGGTTTACCGGTACGACTGCAAACGTTTCCCTAAAGATGCAGGTCAGCTCCGCATTGGGTAACGCGCCATTGCAACAGCATGGTAATATTGGTATAAAGAGGAGCGTATCTCATGGCCCGCCTAGCTCAATCGGATAGAGCGTCAGACTCTTACGAGATCCTGGCTTAGGCGTTGGGCATCTGAAGGCTGGGGGTTCGACCCCCCCGGTGGGCTAATACGTTAGACTGAGTCTTTTCTTTTCTTTTTCGACCGAAAGATGTGTTACTGCCAACTGGCAACTGTGAACCAACTGGCCAGTTGCAAGTTGCAACTGTACAGTGTATGGTACTATGGCTGTACGTGGTTAAACTCTTTTGTGTATGGCACAAACTTCGAAGCCTTCTCTTTGACAGAGGGACTACTAGTAGCTATATACATATACGGGAGGCCCAGTAACCAACCGCTCTGCTCATCGCTGTATCATATTATGCCGCAGGTTACTAAGTCCAAAACAATGCCCATTTCGATACGTTGGATGCGACGAATATACTCTATCTGGGTTGCAGTTGTGCTCGCTCCTCTGACTTGGCTTTGGGCTTGACCGACTCATGTTAGACTTGGGCCAGACCGACTTAAGAAAAAGGATGTGACCGTAGCTGCCGCGACCATTGGTGAATGGGCGACTCTCCATCGCAGCAGAAATACGACTCTCTGGAAATACCTTCATCTTCCTGAATTTGACGAACCTCTTCGCCGATCCCAAAACGCCGTCTGAGTAACACACATAGCGCGTGCATCGCACCCATTTCCGAAGCTGTCGCCAAGCTTTATCAATGCGGAAAGTGGCATACCATCGAATCGCGACGCTCAGCGCGCGCTCAGCTTTCATCCGTGCTCGTGCACGCTCTGGGGTTTGGACTGAAGTCGAGGCACATCATTGAATGGGAAGTTCCCAGTGTTATCGATGGTGCGAAAATTCTCGCATGGTGGTGAGTCCGAATCAATTTATGAACGTTACAGGTCAAGCGCTGATGTCCAACTGCGTAACTTGCACAGCTAACAGCAGTGTCACTGTAATGCTATTCTACATACATTTCCCCCCTCAGTTATGCGGCTGCGGTGAGTTTCGTACAGATTCTCGCCCGTCAAGCGGATTTCAATCACTGCGGTCGTTCTTGTGCCTGGCTCTGAGCACGTCCGATAGCTGCAAACTGAATGTCGCTGCGCACTTATCCTCCCGTGAAGGGCTCGTGGTGAGCAGTAGTCTGCAGACATCGCTCCCCCTTCAATTCTTGGGGGCTCTAAAGAAGAGCACCGTTGGCTCTTTCGTGATACCATTCGCTTCTTCCTTTCCTTCTCGTTTCGAAGGAACTTCTTTGTGTCTTTCTCTTCACTATGAACGCTACCTTGTCTCTTCTCCCCCGTGCTGAGGAACTCATCCCCTTCAAAGACTTGGATCTGTGTAAGCCTCTCGATCCTCCTCGACTAACATGGTGGCTTACTGACAATATTTTTTTGATAGCGGACCCGTGTGCCATCAACTGGCGCACCGTCGACTTGGAGACTGTCGATCCTTGGGCACTCCCCCGCGATTTGCTGAACGACATTTCGCCGTACGGATATGTTCCCACGCGCGCCCTGTGCATCTTCTTCCTCGCGTGGTTCGGAGTCTCAACTCGTAAGTCCTGGTGATTTTATACCCTCTCTCCGTCACTGACGCTGGCGTCGTTATTCAGTACTGCACCTTGGCCAAGTCGTTCACAAAAAGCGCTGGTTCATGATCCCCACCGTCGTGCTATCTGGCGCTGGAGAGCTCATCGCTTGGGGAGGAAGATACTGGTCATCCACGAGCCCGTTGGCTTCTGAATCGTTCTTGATGCAGTGAGTTGAAATTGCCTGCACCTCTCGTATTTTACTCATGTTCGCTACTACTCCGTAGAATCGCGTCTGCAATTATCGCACCCACGCCCCTTTTGGCCGCGCTTTTCATCATCGCAGGGATCACGATCAGGCAGCTGGGATCGTGCTACAGTCGGTTGTCTCCTAAGATGTGTAAGTCACTCGTTTGGTTCGACGTTGCTACAGACTTGACGCTCACTCACTGATTTAGATTCTATAGTGTTTCTTACTTGCGTAAGTGGTTTCTCTGACGAAATAATCTTACCTAGCTGACGAACGTTTATGATCAGGATATCATATCTCTGGTGGTACAGGCCGTTGGCGGTGGACTGGCTGCTTCTGATGACGGCAACCCCGAGCTGGTCAGTGGTAGTTCTCTAATTTTTCTATCAACAATCAATGCTCACGCGTCTTGAACAGGGTGCAAACATCATGCTGGGCGGGATCGTCTTCCAGACATGTGAGTTCTTCTTCTGCTCATCCTCAAAGCGGCTTGTCTAAACAGCATTTCAGTGGTCATCATCGTCTTCTGCATCGTCAGTGGGGAGTTCCTTTTCCGGTATATTAAGGACAAGCCCATTGCCGGCAAGACGAGGGAGAGAGGAACGATGTACATGAAACTGAAGATTATGCTGGCCGCGGTTATATTCGTGTTGGTGGTACTCGTCGTCCGGTGAGTGCATGGTTAATTTGCGTTAGACGTCCATGAATCTCATACACCCTGTAACAGAGCGATCTAACGCATCATCGAGCTTTCTGAGGGATGGAAGGGAACAGTCGTCACCACTGAGTGGTACTTCAGTACGTCCCATCACTACAACCAGCATGCTCAGATTATGTCTCTAACAAATAACTCGATAGACCTGTTCGACGGAGCTATGATTGCACTCGCCATGACCGTTCTAAACGTCTTCCATCCAGGTTACTGGCTGCTTCCTCAGCAAACCATAGTCTTCGCCGACGATGTCCCCAAGGGCTCTACCGCATCGCTACTTGGTCAGGGTAGTTCCAGGAACAATGGGACATCCGGCAGAGATTACAAAATGTCTTCGAGCACCAGGGCACCTGCCCAGATTTGAAGCTAGATGTTGCACGATCTGTCTTGGATTTCTTCCCCTTGCTTACGCGTTTTTTTTCTCGTGTGGCGTCTACTGTACTTTTACCTTGACTGCTCTACTTATTCTTAATCTTGGACTACACCCGGACGTCTGAAAGCTTTCGACGTCGAAGAAGAACCTGCGTCGAGTTCTAATCTTCTAACCTCCCTCTTGTGACCGCTTTTGCTCGCGACCCATTTCCTTTCTTTGACGGACACCTTTACCCTTGGACGCACTTTTATCGATAACCACCGGCAGTCATTCTGTCGCCTTGCTTTCGAGTTAAACCTGCGCCGAATATATCCCATCTATTACTTTCCAAGAGGAGAGACTACTTACTCGCGTGCGTTTGGTCTTGATACGTATGCTTATGGGCAAGCCACCGGTTAATTTGTTTAGATTTGGGGTGATCATCCTTGTCGCGGTCTTCTTCCTGCCATCATCCGACGTCGTTTTGATTTCACGTTCAACTCGACACTCCATCGACCTCGACGATGATCAACTTCCCCGCGCAGAGCTTAGCGTCCAGAGCCCGATCTAGCAAGCCACCGCCCACACAAAGGCCATCTCCGCAGATCCGTACTCGCAGGAGAAGAATTGGAGCATAGGGAGCTCGGAGAATGCCTTGTTGCCGATCTTAGAATGAAATCAGCGTTGTTCTCAACTCGTTTTGTGCCTGAAGTCGCTTTTACAATCAAGGTTAACCCTTCCTCTACATCGTTCTATGATCGCAGTGAGCTCGCTGGTATTTTATCATGATTTTGAAGGAGAGGTTAACGTTATGGACCTGGTGACGGATCTTGAATAACGACAATCGTGGTTGAGTAGTATGATCCACACGTACTCAAACGTACGTTCATGGATCACTTTGCTACTGCCAATCATAACTTTATTAACAGTGATCTCACCATGTCCATCCGGCGACATCGCAGCACTATCAACAAGCGTGAGACCATCTAAATTCGCCTCGCAGCGAATCACACCAAGCCATTTCCGGAGCTGCCCTGGGGCCTGAAGATCTCATTCATTTGAAACGAACTCCGCCGGTATCTATCCATCTGTCACTTTCCGAGACTGTCAATCTTTCCGCAAGGCGTTACTTCCATCACTGTTTACTCCAGCTGGGCGTGGGCTTGACAGATCGGACTCGTCTGGGAAGTGGTGTAAGCTTGAGAGGTACTTATGAAGCTGCATTGCTGGGATGATCGTGGATTCGACTGGGACTTTGACCTGAACGACATGTCTTCTACTAGTGGCTCTGCGGCGATATCGGCCGCTACGATCCAGTGCGTTCTTGCTTTTTGGGCTCAATCTGCTACTTTACAATTCACTAACTGGCTGGCCCATTGTATAGCTTTCTTCGCTATCGCATGCAATACGCAAGCATCAGTATGGCATTCTTGCAGGTTACACGTCAGTTTTTCTGACCTACAACCCGTTCAGCTGTGATCTGGTACGACTACTTCTTGACCTTCCCTGCCGAAGGTGCGCAACGAACCTAGCATATTCCACGCCTCGACTCACCTGAACACAGTGGAATACATCTGGAAGAAGCGGTGGAGGTTATCGACAATCCTCTACCTATGCTGCCGCCATCAAATGCTGGGAAACGTTCTCTACATGCTGGGCCTTGCGAAAGTCCTAACACAAGGGGTAAGTCGTCGGCGAATGATCCTTCCCAGGGCGACTTGTGGCTAAAGCAGTTTGATACAGTGAATAATGGGCTTAACTGCGCGTTGTGAATAAATTCTCACAGCTGGCCATTTTTGTGTTATAGATGCGACCACTGGTACCGGGTTATCGCCGCTCTCAGCGTTCTTGGTCGAGCAGCTGTCATCAGTGAGTCTCCAGCCTGAGTGTTGAGCTTCCAGCCGAAGCCTTTGCTGATAATACCTGCTTGATCAGTCGTATTCGCCGCTCGAACCTACGCGGTCTACGGTCGCAGCATTTACGTCCTCATCCCTGTCGGTGCGCTTGGGCTGGCAGTAGTTATACTCGACATCGTACGCCATCTCACGGGTGTCAAAAGCTCCGTTGTCCTAATACATCCTTCGTCAAGATACAAGCCCCGGGTGTACGATGCGTGGGAGGATCACGCATAAAAATGTGAGAACTATGTCCCATTTTCGGTCGAGGCTTCTCGCTCATAATCACCTCCTGACCACAGAAGTAGGATGCCTTCTCTCTCAGAAGTCTGTTTTCGGAGATGAAACTGACGCGCGTTATTAGTTGATACGC